TGCGATCTACTAACACCATTGATGTCTACAGTAGCATCGGAGGCTGTATTTAGTTTAGGTGGTCGAGTTTGATGTAACGAACGATCAAGACTAAAAGAAAATATATTGGAGGCTTTAATATGTTTGAAGGATTGGGAATGTGCGGAATTACGTTTTCAAGAACAAGTTGATAGTATAATGGTCGAAGAGTTACAACCAATTAAAGGTTAAAGTATAAGATATTGTAAGTTTTTAAATTGTTCGGTTTCAAAAAAATACGTAATTTTTAATTTTTTTTTTAAGAAAAATTGTACACGAAATATTTTATTCGTGTACAATTTTAACTCCGCCTACAATAATTGTAGCCGATCCCAAGCCCGGATAAAGGAGGAGGTTTTAACTTTTATAATTTCTTTAATTTATAACACGTATAAAATGTACAATTTTTTTTTTTTTAAATATAGATTAAAGAAAAAAACCAACGAGTCAGCTCGGCCCGCTAAGGCTCGGGCCAAGCCTAATTTTTTTGGTCGGGCTCGGCTCGGGCCAAAAAAAGCTCGATCCAAAAAAGCTCAGGTTCGGCTCGAGCTTTTTTTTTCGGACTCGGACTCGGCTCGTTGACACCACTACAATCTACCAATCAGGCTCTCTCTCTCTCTCTCTCTTTCTCTCTCTCTCAAGTCTAAACAATGAATGTATTTCTTTACCTTCTTTTGCCTATTTTATTTCTCCTACTCAGGAGAAGAAGATCATCAGACAGGCTACCCCCGGATCTCTAGGTGTACCAGTCATTGGCCAAAGCCTTGGCTTTCTGTGGGCAATGAGGGCCAACACTGCTGACAGATGGATAGCCGAACAAGCGAAAAGACACGGTCATGGACGGACCTAGGGGGGCAACTGCCCCCCATCTTTTGAGTTTTTTTTTATAAAATCGTGTTTGGTATCGATTGAAATCTAAATTTTAATCTAAATTAAAGTTAACAATTAATTTTAATAACATATTCATAGAATCCATAGCTGTTTAACTTTTATCAAAATTTCCTAAAAATTTGATTTTAATCTCCTCCAAACAGGGGCAAAATCACAATAAATTTAAATTTCGATAACATGCTAATTTTAAAAATTCTCCGACGATCGTACACTAATCGAATCTACAAATTGCTTATATCATCTTAAAGTTTATTTCGAGAACTATATTATGGACATATCAAATAGTCCAAACAGATATCAAAAATTGTTAAAAATACGTTAAACGTGAGTTTTAAAAAAAACGTCTAACTCGCATTTTTAAAAAAAAATTCAATTATTTCATTAACATTTATTATTTTTGCGATACAAATTTCTGAATATAATTTTCATCATTTTATTAATAAATTTTCGAAGTTTTACATCTGAAAAAGTCATATCCCATGTAAATTTTTAGATGTAAAATTACATGGAGTATGATTTTTTTGGACGTAAATTTTCGATTGTAAAATTTCT